CACTATCGACAGCCAACTCCACTGCAGCCACGGCTATGGAGAAGGCAACAGCTCTCAACAAGTTCTTTATCTCCCAAAGCCAACAGTCCATCGACAAGACCACCTGTACTACACCAGACAGCAACACTACCCCTGACACCAGTCATACTCTAAATACAATTGCAGCAACAGTGGAAGAGGTCGAGAAGCTTCTAAGCAGTCTAGAGACTGGCAAGAGCCCTGGCTTTGACAACATCCCAACTCGGCTCCTGAAAGAAACTGCAAAGGAAATCTCCCCATCTCTCACTAGTCTCTACAATCTGTCCTTCAGAACCTGAGAAATACCACAGGATTGGAAAGACGCAACTATTACACCCATCCCCAAGTCGGGCAACCCCTCCCATCCTACCAACTACCGACCCATCTCCCTGCTCATTATAATATCAAAAACACAAGAAAAAATAGTCCACTCTCGTCTGTACAATCACATAGCACCGCACTTACCCTCCAACCAATCCGGCTTCTGGAAACAAGACGGGACCAAACTGCAACTCGCACAGATCGTCCACCAGATATCCACAGCTAGGGATGCGGGGAAGCATGTTGTACCGTGTTTCTTCGATTTCAGTAAAGCATTTGATCGTGTATGGCATCAAGGCTTGCTGAAAAAGCTGAGCCACTACCTGGCGGTGTCGACGGCAAGGCTCACAATTGGCTCGAAGCCTACTTGACAGGACGCAGACAGCGGGTGCAGGTTGAAGGCATAACATCCGCCTTCATACCAATACCAGCGGGAGTGCCCCAGGGCTCGGTCCTGGGACCACTTCTGTTCCTGGCGTACACCATTGACCTGCTCACTGCCTGTGAAAATGCTACAACCTCGTGTAGCCAGTTCGCGGACGACACCGCACTAATTGCCATTGCAGGCAGCTACATTGTGTGTGCGGCTGCGCTACAAAGAAGCGTCGATGCCGCAGCAGAATGGCTAGAGCGCTGGCACCTGCTAGTCAATAAAACGAAAACCGTCATCCTCCCGTTCTACCATGCTAACCGACCCCCACCACGACTACCCGAAATAAAAATTGGCCAAACCCTAATACAAACAGTAACACAACATCGTCACCTCGGCATCATCTTTCAGCACGACCTAAGATGGTCAGCCCACCTTGACTTTGTGCTAAAGAAAGCCGTAAAATCTTTAAATATTCTCTTTAGGTTCAAATCAACTCTACACACTAAATCACTCTCTCTCATTTACAAAACGTATATTCTGCCTATAATTGAATACGCATGCATTGCTGTCACCCCGCTCTCAATCGCAGCCCTTGACCGTCATGAGCGAATCAAGCGCAAGGCGGCCAGGATCTGCCTCCGTCTCCCCCTCTACACTCCTCTGGATCATTCAACACTGCTCCATCGGCTCAAATGGCCGACAATGTTCTCTCGCCGCAAAGTGAAGCTCACCCTTCTTGCTCACTCCATAAAATACAAATGTGCCCCACAACACATACGCTTGCTCAACACCCCCGCTCAAGTTACGGCCCAGTACAGCCTTCGACACGCACGCACTTGGCACCTCCCACCCTCCAGAACCGATCGCTGTAAAGACTCCCCACTGTACAAGTCCCTAGAATACTACAATGCCCTCCCTGCTAGCATTCGTGACGTCTCCTCCCGACCTGCTTTCAAACAAGAAATCTGCTCACTGCTGATTAACTCAATCTGCTCCTGCAGCGCTCACCCTCTCCCATACTTGTAAAGTTCAAAGTGATGTAAATCACTTTCCAACTGTTTAGCCCACAATCTCACCTTCTCATCAATTTATCTCTTATTGGCGATGGTGCCATCGTGAGAATAAAGAATTCAAACAACAACACAAAGGTAACGTTATTATCTGCTACTCAGACTGACGCACTGCTGGGGCACGGGTTTTTATCGGCGGCAGCCATTTCTCTGTACGCCCTGCATTCACCAAACAACTAATACTCCATATCTTTGATGTCCCGATCTGGATCGAGAATACCGTTATCTGCAGTGCTTTGGCTGCATTTGGCCAGATCCGGAGAGACATCCGCCATGGTCAAATCCAAACCCCGTCGGGGATTACTGTAGGGACAGGTATGCGATTCGCCACCATCGAGCTGAAGGAGGGATGTCGGCAAGTTCCGTCAGTCGTCCGCTCGGCCGACCAGCACCAGTTTCGTGTCCGTCACGAGGACCAGAGGGCCACCTGCAGGATCTGCATAGAGAGCACTTTGCTCGATCGTGTCCGAGCAAGCGGCCCACGAACAAACCACCCACAAATACACAGAGCACCAATTCGGCTGCACTCCCTGGATCACAACTGAGCTCGGGTACAAGTGGGCCCGATGCAGGAGGTAGTGAGGCTGTTGTGAGTGCTAGTTCAGGTAGTGGTTGTACAAACACGGAACCCAGCGCAGAGCCCGAGAGCTCAAAAGCAATCCACCAGCTCAGCACGCACGCGCACAGAGCCCAAGGGGTCACACTCGTACGCCACCGCAGCTCAACAGGGAGCCCGTGCACAGTTCAACTGAACACACGGGGCGGCCGAACAGGTGAGCACTGCACCCGGCGGATCCCCTACTAGTACTACTACTAGTAGCAAAGACGCAACACAGAAAACTGCTGAAATGAATAGCGCCAGTGCGTCTGAGAACACAACCAGCGACGGGGAATCCAAGGAAATACAGAGCAATACTCCATCCTCTGTCGACCAAACTGAGGTGGCTGAGAGTTCCAGCTTGCAGGTAATCGCTCCCAGTACACCCCAATGTCCGGCACCCCTCCGCCTACAGGCACTGGGGCAGGCCACGACGACGGGGCCACCACTATTGCCTCTGACGATGCGGATTGGATACCCAACGGTCCTCGTCGTCGCCGACACAGCCACAGCCATTTGACCATGGAGGAGAATGCCAAGGCCGCTGGGACATGGCCGTCCCCTCAGAGGAAACACCCGAAATATTGAGTCCAGATAAGTTTCAACAACTAGCCAAAAAAACCAAAAACAAAAACAACACAAATGTCAGTGAATTTAATCTTTCTCAGTACCAACGTGCGTTGCTTATTCAACAAAATGGACGAGTTACTTACCTTTACCCGTTCGTGCTCTGAACCTCAGAACGAACTATCAGTCATTGCAGTCCAGGAAACGTGGGCTGACACATCCGACCCTGACAGTCTCTATGCAATCCCAGGCTACAAGCTGACCAGAGCTGACAGGCAGGACTTTGGTGGTGGTGTTGCCTTGTGCACAGCGGAAAGTTTCAAAACAAGGGTACTGACAATACCAATGACAGCAGCAGAATGTGTATGGACAAGAGCTTCCACCGATAACCTTTCCCTCGTTGTTGCAAACATTTACCGACCACCTCGTAGCGATAGCACCCTCTTCTGCGCGGAGCTGGAAAGAAGCATTAAAACCGCTAGAGCCGAAGGTGACAACCGCCTTCTACTTGGAGACTTCAATGCCAAGAACATGGCTCACCACAGACAGAACAGATCGCCTTGGGGACGACATACAAACTCTTCTACACACATACGGCCTCACCCAACATGTCAGATTCCCTACTTACATCCACCGACAAACACCTCTCTCATGTCTAGACCTTGTTATATCCTCACTCCACACCAATGATATTCATATCCAATCACTTCCACCGTTTGGCGCATCCGATCACACTACTATCAGTGGCCACATCAATAATCAACTGCCCCCCCCCCCATAATTAACAACTCCCCTCCACGATCCAGAAGCACCACATTCTGGTCATGGACAGACAGCACTATCCACCTTCTTCAGGAAGCCCTTTCACGCACAAATCTCAACCACCATCCAAACCAACACGACCCATGCCCAGTTGACAACTTCTGGCGATCCTGGCACGACAAAGTCCTGAGCATCGCCCAAGAACACTGTCAAGTTACTCCCCCCCCCCCCCTTGGGACAGGAAGAACGTTCCAGCACGACCATGGATATCAAAGGGCCTCTTTAATCTATCGTTCCAAACCGGAGAAATCCCACAGGAGTGGAAAGATGCCACCATTACTCCAGTACCCAAGCCTGGTGACCCAACCCAACCCACAAACTACATACCCATCTCTCTCTTGAGTACTTCATCAAAAATCCAAGAAAAAAATGCACATCAACTCCTCTACAAGCTCATAACACCCCACCTACCCAACCAGCAGTCCGGATCCCGGGAAAAAGACGGCACTGAGCAGCAGCTTGCCCGTCTCGTCTATACCCTATCCACTGCGAGAGACAAGGGGAAACACGTCAATGCCTGCTTTTTGCTCTAAGCAAGGCCTTCGATCGTGTGTGGCATCTAGGCCTTCTAGCAAAACTCTCCCAGTATGGTGTCCGGGGCAACGCCCTGGAGTGATTCCGACGGTACCTGTGGGGGATTCGGCAGAGGGTCCAGGTGGATGGCGACTTATCGCCTTTCCTCAAGATCCCTGCCGGCGTCCCTCAGGGATCTGTTTTTGGGCCGCTTCTCTTCCTCGTCTACACCATAGACCTTCCACAGGCATGTGAGAATCCCGGCACCATCTGTAGCCAATTTGCAGATGACACCGCTCTGATTTCCATAGCGAGAACTCTTGAAGACTGCACCCGAAACCTACATCAGAGTGTCACAGCAGCTGGAGACTGGCTTCAAAGATGGCACCTGCTGGTTAACACAAAGAAAACAGTCATCCTCCCGTTCTACCACAATAACCGCCCCCCTGAACAGCTACCCCTGAACAGCTACCTCAGATCACCCTCAGGAATAGTCCGCTTACCGTAGCACAAAACCAAAATAAAGATTTGAAACCACAAAAACAACATAGCCCAACCCACAGCATCTCACCTTCTCTTTAACTTATCTCCTATTGGCGATGGCGCCATCGTGAGAATAAAGAATTCTAAAAATAAAGAACACCAGCGGAAGCACCACCAACAACATGTGGCAATCGCAAGCATGCACGATTATCAACACCTCAACTTGGTCACTTACGCATGCACTTAGCATCATTCTTGACGTTACAAGCCGCCTGTGTGTCCAGGTATTCATAGCCTCTGTCACAGGTGACATTGCCGTTTGCCGAGATGCTAACAATTTTATTCCCAAAGCCGATTGAGCAAGCTTCAAGTAAAGACAACACACGGGGTCAAAAACCAGTTGTTAAAATCAGCGACTGTACAAATAGTGAAGAGGGAAATCGCGAGGCAAGGGAGATGAAACTATTGGCAAGGACACCGGGTGCGAGATTCCCTATATGGTACAGTGAAGCCGCGAGCCCATACTACAGTCCATTCAGAAAAAAATGAACTTCTGGCTTTTGGCCATAAATGGGTCAAACGTTGATTTTTTTTGAATTTTTTTCTGCAATCCTCTATGGAATCCTCTTCCAATTATGTTTCTGAAGTTTTTTTCTCCAAAAAGCAAGCCATAACAAGAATAGGATTTCGGCCAGGTTTTGCCCCCAAAGCATTGAATTGGGAAAAACCATAAAAATCCAGGCCGTTTGACCCCGTCTGCAACAGTGCATTGTGCGGTTCGAACCCCAGTTCAGGTACCCTTTTTGGACCCTTTTTCAAATTTCCCAGCACTGCACTGTGTACGATGAAAATTAATCACGAAAAATCGCCAAATACGGGAGCTCGCCAGAGCCAGAGCCCATCTTTTTATGAATGGACTGTAGGAGTGGGCAAGCTGTGATCAAGCCAATACATGGTGTGATAAAGCTGTGATGAAGCCCATACAGGGTGTGATCAAGCCCATACATGGTGTGATCAAGCCCATACATGGTGTGATCAAGCCCATACTGTATGGGTGAACAAGCTGTTATCATGACAGTTTGCTAGGAGACGGCATGGCATGTACGGAGTAACATTACACAGTATTGTCTCGAATTAAAACCATGACCTGTATAAAAGCATGTCCTGTATAAAAGCATGTCCTGTATAAAAGCATGACCTGTATAAAAGCATGACCTGTATAAAACCATGACCTGTATAAAAGCATGTCCTGCATAAAAGCATGACCTGTATAGAAGCATGACCTGTATAAAAGCATGTCCTGTATAAAAGCATGACCTGTATAAAAGCATGACCTGTATAGAAGCATGACCTGTATAGAAGCATGACCTGTATAGAAGCATGACCTGTATAAAAGCATGACCTGAATAAAGGCATGACCTGTATAAAAGCATGACCTGTATAAAAGCATGACCTGTATAAAAGCATGTCCTGTATAAAAGCATGACCTGTATAAAAGCATGACCTGTATAAAAGCATGTCCTGTATAAAAGCATGACCTGTATAAAAGCATGACCTGTATAGAAGCATGACCTGTATAGAAGCATGACCTGTATAGAAGCATGACCTGTATAAAAGCATGACCTGAATAAAGGCATGACCTGTTAAGAAGCATGACTCGAATGGAAGCCGATTTTTCGAAGCGCACCATGACATAGAAGCACAGTTTGCCGTTCTGTGCAAGTACCTGCATGGCATTATGCACTGCAGAGTGTAGACTGATGATGTTGACGTAGGCATACATTTTGAACAGAGGCAAAACTTGGAAATGAGCATAGTTTGAAAGTGGGTTTTAATGGCCATGAGCACCATGGCTGCTTTTATACATGTCATTGCGGTATGGGTTGGTAAGACTTACAGTGTTCGCAGACAACCCCTAGAGGGTTGACCGTGTGGACAGCGAAGGGCACCTTTCCGAAACCCGTCAAGTAGGCGAGCTGGCCTTTCGTACCGCTCTCAAACGCGTCAATCCAGACCCTCTCTTTTGCCTTGAGCAAGGTGCCCGCGCATCCGGTATTGAACGCGGCCACGCTAAGGAGTCTGCCACCGTATTTCTGGCATATGTGCTGGGCGTCAGTAAAGCTGTGCAGGCTCGTGTCGGATATCCGTTTCAGGACACTGCCGGTCTGCCTGCAGTACTGATAGCCAGTCAGTGTTGGTACAGGTGCTTTAGAACACACACACACAAAACAAGCCAGAGGAGCAGTCGCAGAACAAATCATAAAAATAATCGTTTGTGTATGCGTAATTGTGGGTGTGTAAGCGCACGAGACTGTCAGTTAGCTGCCATACTGCGACTTTGTATGATTTAATTCGACCGTGTTCCTGCCTTCATGGATCAAGGCTGCCATAAGACAATAGGCACAACAGGTCGCAAGGTACGTTTGCCACTCAACCTTCTATGGATGGCCAGTTGCCTGATGAAATCGATCTTCGGGGATATTTTGTTGAAAAAACAGTTTTCTACATATGAGGCATCGGCACCAAGAACCGGGGTCCTGGCGATTTTTCAAAATGCCAATATTTGCGAAAAACCGAACCAATGTCGTTTTTTAGTCACCGCGATTAAAGCGGAAAGACCTCTTGCAGTATCGCTTTGAAAGTGCTTTCCTCTTGGTGGCTTCACTATAATTTGTTGTCATTTTAGTTGTAGTTTATCCGCCAAGCACTTGGGACGTCCAGGTAGGCGTTTTAGCCACCATGGAGGCTTTTGCGCTCTGGGTAAAGTCTGCAAACCATGCTCTGAAAAGAGAGCGGAACAAATAATTTCTTGGTGGAACGATCCCGTCGCGAATTCTTGATGGAGCACGAGCGACTAGAATATTTGGCAGCTGGATCTCCAGAGATACTCCGCTGCCTGTGATAGTCCCCCGCAAGAAGAACCAGTTGAAAGTGACAAGAAGTCAGGGAGGGGCGGATGGGAGAGATGGGGCGCTCTGACGGGATTTTTACGGTGCATCATTTTAGTGATGTAGTGATGTAGTGCTTACAAGCAGGATTCAAGCTGGTAACAGACACCCATAGTAGAAAAGGCCCCAAGTGGAACACTCTGGTTTTCATGTACTCTTTTTAGTATTCTTATTAAAAGCATGTCCGCGTAGGTGGCGGGGGTGCCACTTTCCCTTATGCCATTCACGATTGATGTCTGAAGAGTAATACGATACAATGAAATGACAGAAGTGACGTCAACAAAAGCCGTTACCAACAATACCAATAGGACTAATGGAAAAACTTCATCCAAAGTATAAAACGAGAGAGCTTGGAAGCTCAGGGCCCTGCGCTATGCTTTGTTGCCTAGCTCGTCGTGCATGTTGTTAGAACTGATGGAAATGCTTTTTCCTTTTATTAGCTACATCATTGTATTGCAAAAACGTTTCAATGAGTTACTGAAGTAACGTCTGCTGCAAAGGTATGGGACCGGCGATGGCTCTGCCGATCACAGGCGTTCTGGAGTCGACAGGATGTCGGTCCTGACGTTTCCTGGCCCCGGCGCTGACTCTGCCGATCACGGGCATTCTTCTTCTTCTTATTATCATACTGACGGCAACTAACATCCATTCTGATTGCATTTACTCGTCTCCCTACTTCGTATTAATTTTCTTTCCAGAAAATCTCCCCATACAGCAGGGAGTCGTTTACATAATATGACTCCCTGCTATACATCTACACGACTGTATAAACGCTAAAATTTTTATGCTATCGGCCTACATGCCATTCCCGGGCTGGTCATCAGGCGGCCCAGCCAGCCTGCTAGTGCGATCTCGGCCTCGCACACAAATCCACACAAAATGTTACTGCACTGAATGCATTCCCCCGATACACTTCGCATATATACTCATTCTCTTGATGGTACCGTACTCTTGATGGTACGGGGCAGGTACGGGATAGCGCCAGGCATGTCGATGGCACAAACAAATAAAAGTATTGTGGCCAGATGTCTTTGCTGGTACGGTACGGTACGGGACAGATACGGGATATCGCCAGGCGTGACACAAACCCACAAACAAACACCAAATTAAAGCTGTGTGGACCCTGGCTAGCGCCAGACGTTACTGAAGTAACGTCTTCTGCATAGCTACGGAAATAAAATAGAATATGCATACAACATGTCTGGCGGAATCACGTGGATCACGAGAATCAGTTCTGTTAGGTGGGGTGGGCTCCACGCCATGCCTGTCGGTCCGCTGCCATTGCGCGGACTGCGTCAGCATCTAGCGGCTGGTGGAGGGTAAGTCCAAGCCATGATGACAGTTCCGTCTGCAAGACTGGTACCAAAGTCGTCCGAGGTCGACCCTGAAGCGTTCAGTGCCCTCGTCATTGGCCAAGCGAAGATACATATCCACTGCCAACTGTGGAGGAGCAGTTGGGGCTAAATGAAAGATATGGCCAGCGACACTGTTAATTGTATTCTATAATTCTGAAGCGATTTCACTCCCCAGTCAGGACAGGTAATGACCCTGTTATTGGAAGCCAAGGGAGGGAATGTTTGCAAAAAGAAAAAGAAAAAAGGGCACCAGCAAAAGGAGTGTGGAAGTAGGAAGACTGCGAATGTGTTCACACTGCAAAGACAGCTAATGGGCGATGCAGACTACGGCCAACTGTGACCACATTTCTACGACTCAGATGGATTTGATCTGGGATTGTGCATAACATTTTGAAGCACGACTGCATCACCTTGGAATTTCAAGTTTACACGTGATTTTGGCCGTAGTCTGAATCGCATATAAGGCTGTGATGTCAGCCTTCACAGTCATGCACAAACACTCAAGGACACAGGTTGAGGTTTGGAAGAATACAATTAGATACAGGTGTGAAGAAGACAGGTAAAGAACAGACAACCAGGTCACGCCAATCGTGCACTTCAGGCGACTAGTCCAAGATGGCGCATGCTGGTTGTGACGTAACATACAGGCAAAATATATGACGTACTAGTCACTTGACAAGACATGAGTATCATTATCACATCAATGGCAGACTCAGAAGTGGCAAGAACACCTCCAAGTGGCGGAAGAGCAGTCGTACCAGCAATGAGGTTGCGCCTCTTGGCAATGAACAGGAACTTGTTCAGCACTATGCCACGCACCATACACGCACAATGTCGTGATCACTCCAAAATGCGCAACAAGTTGCACCATCAGGCTCGTGGCGATAAACTTTTGCCGAGCTGGAGTGAAAAGTTCAGCAACTGGCAACAAGTATCTGATTGATTCAGAGAGAATCGCGTGGGTTCCAGAGTGATCGATTCGGTTTGTTTGTCAACGCTCTCCTCCATATTGCGCGGCGACCTCCGCTGAGATGTCAATCTGGGAAAAATTCCGCGGCTCACTTGCCGTGCAAGCTGCCCTCCGCCTTCGATGAACGATACAATTCTACAAGTAAGGAAACAACTCCTTCGCTCGGCCCAGCTGTTTTCACGGAGCCACGGGAAGTCGTTCCACTAAGCTGAGCAGAATCTCCCTTCCAAAACAATCGAGATCGATAGCGCGCTGTGCGCACCCTGACGTACCGCATTTCGCCGCTTTCGCTGTTGCTGTGCCGCCTTCGCTGTTGCTGTGCGGCCTTCGCTGTTGCTGTGCCGCCTTCGCTGTTGCTGTGCCGCTTTCGCTGTTGCTGTGCCGCCTTCGGCACCCATACCACAGCCAATACTCCACACATCGGTGCGTTGGCGTCATCTTGTTCAAATGTAAACAGTACTTAACTCACTTCTTGCCTGACACTCGAGTGCGAGCGGCTGGGACCTCCTTCCGCCAAGAAGGAAAGACCATTTCTTTCTCATCTTTCTTTCTTTCTTGACATTCTTGATTTTCTGGTACGGCGTTTTACGCAGTTTAACCATAAATAGACATTTTTACACTCACCATGCACTGATATGTTTGACGTCATAGCATATGTATTTGCCTTACAGGACATGCTTTGACTCACCGCTAGGCTTGGAACAGAACGGCACTGACGTGAGTGTCCCGTGAGCTGTACACATCGGCGTGGCATCTCCCACGAGCTCACGACCAGCGTTGCACGAATAGCTAGCGCTCTCCGTGTACCAGATGGTTGCCTTTTTGACAACGCCGTTATCAATGTTAGGTACATGGCACTTGACACCAGCTGTACACAGAACACAGTGAGGGCAATGAGAATAGCAGTGTTCCAAATTCAACAGAGAACATCCAAAAACGTGACAGCTCAGGTAGCTCGAAAGGAAACCAATAAATACTGTTAACTGTCTGATATTCGCAGCGGATTAATGTTCGCTACTTTCGCCAGAAGAGCGTATCGCGAATATTACCCAGCGCGAAATCAAACTTCAACAGTGGGTGTGTCATATCGGCTTGGGCAGGCGACGGTTCTCCCGGGTTGTAAGACAAACTTCCCTGGGTTGTACGCTTGTACCGCAGGTGTATGTAGGTGGCCGCAGTGTTTCGCAAACGTTTGCCATCGCAAACTCGCTGGGTCTAAGAAATCGCGAAAATTTATTGACGCGAATATTGGTCAGTTTACAGTAGTTCTTTGGGCGTTCTTTTGGGCAGGTCTTGAGCAGGTCTTGAGCAGGTCTTGAGCAGGCCTTGAGCAGGTCTTGAGCAGGCCTTGAGCAGGCCTTGAACAGGTTTTGAGCAGGTCTTGAGCAGGTCTTGAGCAGGTCTCACGTAGACATATCATGACGATATGCCCGTCGAAGGTTCGAGCCACCCTTTTGAGCAGGTCTCACGTAGACATATCATGACGATATGCCCGTCGAAGGTTCGAGCCACCCTTTTGAGCAGGTCTCACGTAGACATATCATGACGATATGCCCGTCGAAGGTTCGAGCCACCCTTCTGCAGAATTTCTTCTTCTTTTCTGTACTGGTTTTGACAAGAACAGCCTACTAGTATACAATTGCCGGACAAAGTAGTAAGTTAAGTTCTGTAGGTAACAGCATCATGAAACTTAGTAGGTACTCTCCAAATAACCAAAAGAACATCATTGCCAAATGTGAGGGACATCCATAAGGCAGTTTCAATTTCTTGTTAGCAGTAATATGTAAATTTACTTCCAATCCACAAATTAAGGGCACTGGACAAAGTATGTTTCAGGTTGCTGAAGAAGGGTCAAAACTGTGCAGACTCTTTCCATGCCTATCAAGCTTTACCTCTTCTTCTCGCAGTGTCCTACAGGGTAACAATAGCATTGTAAACGTGTACTGTAAAATCCCGCCAGAGCGCCCCGCCGCCTCTTCCATACACCCTTCCTGACTTCTTGTCTGGGAAGTGATGGATTGTATCCTCGTAGGACTCTGTGATGCCGTATTGTACTGCAGACGCGTGCTCGACCCGGTTGAAAAATGTACGCAGCAGTGCCCCCCCCCCCCCCCTCTTGACCAGGGATCGCACAAACCCTGAGTTTTGATGGGTCTGAACGACTCCTGGCTCTTGACCTTTGGTCGGTGTACGAGATGCACGAACACATTTCGTAGGGTGAGTAATTCATGTAGCACTGAATGCAGAAAGTAGGACTCGCCCATCTGCCCCTCCCCACCTACACCTACTTGAAGAGTGGCGGAGGTAGGGGTGATTTGGCGGGATTGTTCGGTGATACAATTTTTTTCTTCATCAATGAATTCGTTGTCATGAAATCTTTTTCATGGTATTAAACACATCATTTTTAGGTCTTTTCCTTGTCCCTACACATTAGAAGAATTGATTTGGCAAGATACTTTGTGAGCACGTGTTTGTCACTTCATCACTTCATTGCTAACCTACGGCATTCTCATGACAACTGAAGAATGGCTGTGACAATGGTGAGGTGCTGTGCTGTATGGTGAGCGAGTGGATGGAGTGAATGCCCAGGGGCCTCTCTTGTTGCTACTTGCCGTGGTATACTGTGCCATCTATCAAAGTCACATCTGGCTATCACGACATACCTGCACTCTCTCTAACACCCTTTATATTACTGGTATCCTCAGTGTAGTCTATCAGTATCGCCTTTGCTTAGCCTTAATCTTCGCGCATTAATCTTCGCGCCTAAGATGCGCCATTATGTTTCCCCTTTTTGCTACAATAGGGTGAAATTCACTATCTGCCATTCTACATTATCAACCTTCACTGGCGAGATCCTGATCATGGCCAGCAATCAAGGACATCTGAGAGTTGTAATTTTTGTACTCCTCCGAGGTGTGATTTTTGGCGTGCTGGGCCAAGCACAAGGAAGCCAACTGCAAAAAAACTGCCGAAACTCGTTGTTGTTTGATCCTTTGGTGTAATCTTTGTTTCTAGTCGAAGCTGGTTGCTGTTTGGAGCAGAAACGCTGAAATTGACTATTTTCTGCATGTACTCATATATGTACTCATGTACTCAGGCATGCAGTCTCACTCGTATTTTAGCTCTTTTTCTGGAATGGATGCTGCTCTGCGCCCCTTGGTGAACATTTCCTGCGCTCGTGGAGCAGCTGAAAAGGACCACTGGTATGTCTGGTTCCTGGTTTGAAAGTGGAGAGTCGACTTTTGTGCCTTGAAAAAGGAGTAGAGAGCGATAAAGGTACGTCTGTGGCTGATTTTTGAGTGCTCCTCGTATATTTTTGATCGTGATAGAAATTATCAGACCAAAGTCAGACCAAAGTCAGCTCGATGATGGTCGTACAGTTTTCTTGTGAATTTTTTTGTTGTTTCATCTCGTATCTATGTCAGTATCGTGATGGTGAAGTGGAGAGGGTGATTTTCTTCCTCTAGGCTTCGTTCGGCCGACTTTGCTTCGTCCTCGTTGAAAAGTGATCCTGAAAAAAAGGTCGATTCGCAAAATTATGTTGATTTTCAATGTACGAGATGACATGCGATTGCTGGCTATGGATCGAAACAGCTGCGGTCTGAAGGAGCAGAGTACCAACTGAAGTGTCGTATTGCTGATGGTGTGCTGTGGCAATGTGTTGAGTTCGGCCGGAGAGCGCAGCGGTGTGGTGTGGTGGTTGATAAAAATTGGCAAGATTTGATTAAAAATCAGGCCATTTATTATTGGTGGACACCTTATATCGCAAAAGAGCCAATTTGCGCACCATGATGTCATATAATTTGCCATCTGTTCTAAACAGAACCAAACTAAACTAACTAAATCCCAGGCCATGACAGCCACCCTCATACGCGCCGGCTTAGATCTCCCCCCACTCTTGTTTGGTGGCACACTGGTGCCCGAGACAACCAGCATCACCCTCCTCGGTGTGAAGGTGGACGCCAAGTTGACCTTTGGCGATCACCTGTGCTCCGTAGCCACCCGTGCACACCAACGGCTTGGGGTCCTAATTAGAGCCGCCCACATCCTCACTTTCGCCAGCCGGACGACAGTGTATAAGGCGTTCGTACGACCAGTCATGGAGTATGCGCTTACTGTATGGATGGGAGCTGCGTAGAGTCACCTCCAGCGTCTGAACAATGTTCAGCGCCGCGCACTCCATGCTATCGGCCCTGGGGCACACCTACCCAGCTTGGCCATCCGCCGTACTGTTGCCTCGCTTGCCTTCCTGTACAAGCTGCACAACTTGCCTGGTCCTTCGCAGCTGCTCTCTGTGTTGCCACCGCGCCATATCACCTCTGCCAACCCCAGAACCCGCAGCGTGCACGGTAGTGTCAGTGGCCATGACCAAAACAGCTGCCTGCATCTGCCCCGCTGGCGCTGAAGCGCTCGTTCCCACACTGCAGCATCAGCGATTGGAACTCCCGCCCCGCCGCTCTCCTATCCCAGCCTCCCCACAGCAAGAGAATGCAGTCATTCAAAACGAACGTTTATCGCCATCTTCGCAGCACAAACTGGCTCTGGGCAGTCGATTCCCTATGAATAGTATGATGCTATGATAGTTTCTCACCACACTCGCTCGTGTTAAACCTTGGGTTTTTCGCATCTTTCTGACCGGTACAGCACTATCTTCTTTTTTTCTTTGTTTTTGGTGCGTGTTCTTGGCCGCGATGCCGAGACCTCAGGTCGGCAGAGTCATCAATGGCCCACCATCACTGCTGCGTCTCAGCACAGCGCCAGCTCATTAGTTGTTAGTTTGTCCTAGTTTCCGTACCATTGTCTTTTCGAGCTGGTTATGTGAACATATTTAAAAAAAGAAAAAAAACAAAACAGATCGATGACAGATGGATCAATGGTAGACTTACAAATCTCGCAAAGAGTATACAACTCGGAGGCTAAGTCCGTTTGGCGGTTCCACGTATCGAGTGCTTTGTTTCCTGCCCTTGGTGCTCCTACCCATGTGGCACTGTCATGTGGTGCTACGTAATGTGCGCAGCCAGCTCTGAATGATGCCTCCGATAGTATAGTTCCGTTGTAGCGCCCGCAAAGCTCTTTGGCTGCGTTGTAGTTAAGTGCGCGCTGGGATAGTAGAATGAGTGACGAGTGGCAGTAACGGTACTTGGTCGGTGCTGCCGAAGCTGTTATGCATGATAACCAAACAGAACAAAAACAGGTGGTCAGTGAAAACGGGTGGTCAGTGTGTTAGGTGTACGAGAGCTTACGCGACACAAACTCTCAAACATTGATTCGTACAGTGCAAGCAACCGCACATGTAGTCAAGAAACATTACTGAAAACGCGTGATTATCGGAAAAAATGGATTGCACACATCCATTTTCCACAAAAATAACCGGATGAGTAAGGGAAGCGGATAATGGAACACACGTACTGTTTGTATGCACTAGATATGCTGTAAATCGGTAACAAACAATTTTCTTGCGGATGGCGAGGGATCCGGATAAAAGAGGACCGGATAAGAGAGGTCTGACTGTACAAACTACAGGCAGTCATTAATTACAAGCACTACAAGCAACACAAACAATCTGGGGTTCATTGTTGACTGGGCTAGAGGTCTGCACATCCATAGCAATGCCAATGTCCTCTATGGATAAAGGTGCTGACACAGCTCCGAAGGGCCCCATCACACATGCGCTAGGGTTCCACTTCAGCGCCAAGGTTCTGCGGCAGCAAGACTGGTGCCTCTCCAGCGGAACCATGCGTGTATGGTCACACATGACAGACAAGGCAAGCTCTACTTTGGCGGAAAAGTGAGAGAGAAGTGGACGGTGGTGCATACAGTTTGGAGTCCATGACTATCTGCCCCTGATCTGACATGCATGTTTTTTTCATGGACATCATACCCATACAAATTTCTCGTAGAAAGTCCATATCCAGGTGTTGTTGAAACCAAAAGAGCGAGAGTGCCGCTCCTAAAATTTTGGAGGCATCAGATTTGAGATACCGCTGGAGAGGTAGCTGCACTTCTCGCAGTCGCCATGGTATTTTCCGCTCCTGCATCGTCGCTTCAGCAGAACCGCTACTTTAGAATGGATGTGTGACCGGGGCCGCAAAGCAGTGGGAGCTGAATAGATCAAACCCTCCACAAAGTGGTCAAAGCAGTGGGAGCTGAATAGATCAGACCCTCCACAAAGTGGTCAAAGCCCGCCTATTCTATTCTACTTCCGGTGAAGCCGATCCTTATTATAGCAGAGCGCGACTAAAACCGGTTAAACTATAGACCATCTCTACTCAACCTGTGGACAGCATGCTGTTTCGTTCTTTGTGAACTCATCAGTCCAGCACAGAGAAAATGAGGCCGAACCTGATAGCAATGAAGATACAATTTCCAAAGCCAGATTTAAATCAGGCCCGAACGTACCTTGCCAGAGTGCTCAAACTGACAAGTCAATGAGCTCTGTGAGCTCTGGGTGACCAGATCTCCTTATGTAGTATGTGGATACTAATCAGGGAGATGTAGTCAGCAGAGAGCGTGACAGGACTTACGGTAACATGCTGGTCCAACCAGAGCGGCATCCGTATTGCATGAAACTTTGGATTGACCAATCATGAAGTATCCATTTTGACAAGAGTGTATAGCCGATTCACGATACTTTAACACGGAAGCAGTGCGGATAGCAAATTGCACTGCTGGTACATTACACCTGAGGGCTGCGCACAAAGTTAGAAGAGAAAATGAAGAAGAAGGGAATCCACGTCAATCCACGTAGTCTGTGTGTGTGTGTGGGGGGGGGGGGTGGGTGGGTGTGGGTGCGTGTGTGCGTGTGTGCGTGTGTGCGTGTGTGTGTGTGTGTGTGTGTGTGTGTGTGTGTGTGTGTGTGTGTGCTTATGTGCTTGGAGAGGGAGGGTTGCTTTTTGAGAGCTCCTGCCTCAGGATGTTGTAGCCACCCTAAGCAGCCATGGACCGTGTGGTGAAGACCAGGCCATGGCTGTGGTGGCCCAGCGGACGACCTTGCAAGTTGTCTGTTGGAAGTTGTTGAGCGCACTGCACAAGACGAGCTGAGCAATTTTTGAGTTTCGTTTTTTTGAAATTTGAATTCGGAATGGTGACGAGTGGGAAGAGGAAAGGGAAGAGGACAGGAAAGAGTGTCCTGGCGGCTGCGACTTGGAATGTCCGCTCTCTGGTGGAGGAGGGTGACGACGCAAGGACTTGTAGAAGACGCGCGGCGGCGGGCGGAAATGCTGTTGACAGGAAGCTTGATATATTGTCCAACGAGGTAAACAAATTCAAAATCGACATAGCCGGCATTCAAGAGACGCAGTGGTTCGGGAACGATATATGGCCTGTTGGCGGTGGTGTCTTTCTCCATTCTGGTCGGCCGCTGCCTGGGGAAAACGAGCCGCGGAGACGGAACGAAGGCGTAGGCATTATCATGAACGCGAAATTGACGGACCTGCGGCGGCGGGGCGGCGAACAGTGGAGAGCCGTCAGTTCTCGTATTGTATCTGCTCGGATTCTAATCGGAGCGAAGGATGACAGAGTTCGGCAGGGATTTGGATTGCGGCGGCGCTCCGATTTCTTTTTGACTGTAGTCAACGCGTATGCCCCAACAAGCAAAGCAACTCCAGCTACAAAATATCAATTCTACAGCGACCTGGAAGCGGTGATCTCGGCAGTCGAACCTGGTGACGTTTTATTACTCCTCGGAGATTTCAACGCTCGTGTTGGGTCGTTGGATGGTGGAGTCACTGACGAAATCGCGCGTGTTGAGGACATTCCTGGAAACGGTCAAGGCTGGAGTGGCGTTCTTGGACGTTTTGGAATGGGTCGACGCAATAAAGCTGGTGAGAACCTTTTGATGTTCTGTGCATCCCATGGCCTGACGATCATGAACACATTTTTCAAGAAGAAACAGCATAAGCGCGGCACATGGGTTCATCCAGCAACGCGGCAGGAACATTTGATAGACTATGCAATCATGCGGTCTGAGCACCGTTGTTACTGTCGAGATGTAAGTGTGTTGCGTGGTGCCCTCTGTTGGACAGACCACTACTTGGTTCGTATTAAGCTTTCCCTTGATTTTGTATTGCCTCGCAAACAACCCAGCAAGCGGAAACCCTATGCCGTTCATAACCTGCGGAGTGCCGGGGTGAGGGAAAAGTACTGCCAGGAGATGGAGAATATCTGCTTGAATGCGCCTGACATCGATGAGGAAAGCAACGTGCAGGAGTCCTGGAACTCACTGTGTGGAGATATCCGCGATGTTGCGGCAAATGTGCTTGGCCATGGGAAGCGGAGACAGCCAGATTGGTTCGTGGAAAGTCAGGCAGTATTGGAGCCGCTGATCGAGCAGAAGCGGCAGGCACACCAGAGGATGCTCGGCCATGACACTGTCACCACACGCAAGGAGTTTACAGTTCGCCAGCGGTCCGTGGGACGTGCGGTCCGTGCTGCAAAAGAAAAGTGGATTGCTGATGTCGCGGGGGAGGCAGAGCATGCGCAGAGGGATGGCTGCACAAGATGGAAGGCAATACGAAAGCTCCAAGGGATACATAGTGGACGACACCCTGTGGGCACATCATCTGTCTACAATCGGGACGGCATCCTTGTAAACGACCCGGTTGGTCTCAGGGTTTGCTGGGGCCAACACTTCGAGGGTGTGCTGAATGTTGCCAGCACATATGATATCACAGTGCTGGAGGACATGCCTGCTGCGGAGACTTGGAACGACTTAGATCAGCCTCCTAGTTTCGATGAGGTGATTCGTGGCATGCGGAAGATGAACCTTGGCACGGCTGGTGGGGAGTCGGGGATTGTTCCGGATCTGCTTGTTCATGGCGGCGCTGCTTTGCATCAGCGTATATTTAACTTGATCCGTGCAGTCTGGTTGAGTGGATCCGTCCCGCCTGAGTGGCGCGATGCCGAAATCGTGACAATACCGAAGAAGGGTGATCTACATCGATGTGACAATTGGCGAGGCATTAGCTTGCTAGACGTTGTTGACAAGCTATTTGCTCGCATCATCCAGGACCGTCTCCGCCCTTTGACCGAAAGTAACTTGCCTGAATCACAGTGCGGATTTAGGAAAGGACGCGGTTGTGTCGACATGATATTCGTGGCACGCCAACTCATTGAAAAGTCGGTTGAACACGATACTCCATTGTACGTCCTATTAGTTGATCTCAGAAAGGCGTATGATTCAATTCCCCGTCCAGCGCTGTGGCGTGTACTGGAGAAGGTTGGTGTGCCCCCGCATCTGCTGCAGTTGATCCGGAGCCTTCATGTCGGCATGAGGGCGCGTGTGCGAGTTGGTGGGGGATATACGGAGGACATCTTTGTCAACAATGGTCTCCGACAGGGCTGCACATTGGCGCCCACCCTCTTCAACATCTACTTTGCAGCTGTTGTATCTGCGTGGCGCTCACACTCATCTGTACCTGGCGTGACCCTGCGGTATCGCATCGGTCGAAAGCTGGTCGGAGATCGAACAGCCAAATCCCGACTTCTTGCGACTGAGGTTACAGAATCCCAGTTTGCGGATGATGCGGCACTCTATGCCGTTTCGCACCAGGACCTTGAGGTCATGACCAACGAGTTCGTCGGATGCGCCTCTCAGTGGGGCCTAACAGTCAGCACGGCCAAGACCAAAGCTATGGTGGTGAATGGTGTTGATCCGCCTGGGGTTCGTCTGGACTCTGGAGGGGACATTGAGGTGGTGGAAAATTTCACCTATCTTGGCAGCACCATCAGTGGCAGCGGTGCCCTTGATGATGAGGTTCGGGCAAGACTTGCCAAGGCATCTCGCGTGTTTGGTTCCCTGCAGAGACCTATCTTCCAGTGTGGATGTCTCTCCGTTGCTATCAAGAAGCTAGTTTATCAAGCCGTTGTACTCACTACACTGTTCTATGGTGCGGAGACTTGGGCCGTGAAAGCCACCCACTTGCAGCAGTTCAACACCTTCCACCATGCTTGCTGCCGCGTCATCCTTGGTGTTTCCCGGTCCAAACAGTGGCAGGAGAGGATTTCCACCGAAGAGATTGCGCAGAGGATTGGGCTGCCTGCGAACATTGATGACCTGATTCGCTGCCACCGTCTTCGTTGGCTAGGCCATGTTGCGAGGATGGCTTCGGGCCGCTTGCCGAAACAGGTTCTCTTCGGGGAGCTCTCAGCAACCCGCCCTCGCCATGGTCCCAGGAAGAGGTACCGGGATGTCATCAGCGCTGACTTGAAGGAGGCAGAGATCTCGGATGGGGGCTGGTATGACGCAGCTCAGAACCGCGCAGATTGGAGGCAACTTACACAGCATCGTCGCGCTCCTGTGCAGAGGGTGGACACATTCCCCTGCCCCTGTGGTCGCGTTTTTGGTCGGTCAGGAGACCTCAAACGCCATGCAAGATATTGCTCAGCTCGCTAGCTATCATCGCCTTACGGCGATGGGCGTCCAAGGTCCAAGGTGTGTGTGTGTGTGTGTGTGTGTGAGGGGGGGGGGTGGTGGTGGTGGTTGTGGGTGTGTGGGTGTGAGGGGGGGGGGGGGTAGTGGTGGGTGTGTGAGGGGGGGGGGGGGGTGGTGGTGGTGGTGGTGGTGTGTGCATGTGTGTATGTGTGCGTGTGTGGTGACAAAGACGGTGTTCACGGCTGTTGGTCACCAACTCAGAAACAGTGACCGTTCCCCGCTAAACATGCAAGCAAATGCTATACAGCATGTCAGCCAATTCACGAATCTTGGCTCAGTTATAACAGCAGACAGACTATGCCACACCGATGTGTCCAACCGCATAGCTCCTGCATCCAATGCCTTTGGTAGCCTCTATTCGTCAGTTTTTCGGAACACATCCCTTACATTTGAAAATACCGCCATTCCGGCAACATGCTCTCAGCTGCACCAAAAAGAACTTCGCCAATTCTGAAGAAACATCCTTTACATCTAAGACGAAACAAGGCACGTACACATTCTACGTGCCAGCTGTGCTGTCGTGTGGCGGAGGGGTGAGAACTGGAGTCTGTTCCCACATACCCCTTCTTGAACAATTCCACCGGCAGCTGCTGCATTCGTTTCATTCTCGGCATGGGTGTTGTTGAATAGATTATGGGATGGGTTTAGTGTAATATTTCGCCGAGTGTGCGTATCACTTCATACTCATTGGGAGCAATTTTCATTTCCTCAGTTTTTTCTCCATGCAATGTATGATTAATTTTATATATCTCCGCTCATTCTCAAGGTACACATGGTCCATGCTACGTATACGTACGCCTCGCTGGTGACTAGAAATATGTAGGCATGGGACGGTGCATGGTGAAGTCATTTTTTCATGGATGAACTCAATTGAAATGCAGCAGAATTGAGAGTGCTTTGAAATGGTGTACAGTAAATTCCGCTGCAAACGTCCACCGCATTGTTGCAAGATCTGCTGGCCTATACGCACTGACTCCATGCACTGTCACCCCTACTGTACGAAAGTGCATCTCACTCCTTAGCGCGAGAAGCGCTTTGCTACGGTAAACTATGTCCATTTTCCGGGTTTCAAAATGTTTTTGGGCACTAGTTAGGAGCTAGCACCTAGTGATTTTATGATGTTGGTTGTTTTATTTCACAAATCCAAATGAGAGTTACTTCGGAATAACAAGGTAGCGAAGAACAGGCTATTCCAAGAACCAAATACACTTCTTACAGTGTCTTAAGCCATCATTTCCAAATCACGCAAAGCGCAATGGCAAGGGTTTTTCTCGAGCACTTCAGAGTTTTCAGCAAGTCAGCAGCGACTTCGTAGGTATAGCTTCTGTGACATCCCATCTGTTCGACTTGCAACTGCAATACTGCGACCTGTCGAGTCGTTGAATGACGCTTTGTCAGAACAATCAAAGTCCCATTCTGAAAGCGCGCCATCGTAGCAAGCACTGCAGAAATTTTATGATTTGAAAACCAGATGGATTCTGCCACATTACTTCATGGAGAACGAACTAATAACAAAGACGACTCATTCATCGTATGGAAGGAAATCTCGACCGAAGATTTTTTTCTTTGCAGCAAGATAATGACAATGGCTTTTGCAGAGCCTGTTGGTAAGACATAGGCAGTTTGTAGGCACTATAGTCGTTCTCGTACGCATTCGACCTTCAAAGCCAGTTTTCTACAACTATATTGACCTGAAAAAGACGAAAATAACATGGACCCGCTGGGGTGGGCGTTTGCAGCGAAGTGGGCGTTTGCAGCGGACTTCGCGGTACATACACTAGAGATACACAAAAAAAAGAGATAGATAGAGAGATAGAGAGATAGATAGATAGATAGATAGATAGAGAGAGAGAGAGAGAAAGAGAGAGAGAGAGAGAGAGAGAGAGAGAGAGAGAGACTCAGGGGTGGGGTGGGGGGGGGGGAGGGGGGGGGAGGGGAAGCTGTGTCGCATCTCTGACTTGGACATGATCCTGACCGATGTCAATACTTACGAACACAGCTGGGAACGGAAGTGAGGCTTCCATTTGCCTGGCACCATGGCCTGGCATCACCTACAAGCATCAGACCTACTTTGCATGTGTAGGTAGCACTACCTGGCGCTATGACGACCGTCGCACCGGCAACGGGCGGGATTGGGCACGTATAAGCTGAAGGCATGTGGATAATAAATAAACGACATGGATACAACAATTTTCAGAACTGCAATCTTTTCTAGAACACCTTACGAGAAGAGCAAGAAAACTCAGTGGTACACTCTAACTGATGACCTGCACAACAGGAACAGTCTTAGAGACGACAACTTGTTCCTTGAGAAGATGCCTGCCCACACATAAACCCTGCACAGTTCATCTTACTGCGCCTCCTCGCCGACGGATCAAGAAAAGTTACACATATTCCATGCCCACACACTTTGCGCCCACGAACATACTTTGGTTACGAGAAATAGAGAATAGAGCGAGGGTGCAACTTTTAAACCTGAAAGAGCCTGTGAGTATTACACTTGGTTAGCGGGTACGGACGAAAAATTTGTAGCGGCCGAAATTTAGTTATGCAAGGTTCAGCGTGACAGTTTATACAGGCCGAAAATTTGATGCGGCCGAAATGGGTTTTCACCCTGGGAGGCCGAAATTTGAAAGCGCCGAAAATTTGCCGGACGTTAAAACTCATACAATAGGACTGTATTATGAAACACTGTGTACATACGTATGCAGGCAGGAATCTTGTTGCCAGCAGAGCAGACACGCTCTGTGTCAAAGTGCTCGCAGCCAAGGTCACACGTGACAATGCCAGCCGCCGATACGCTAGCAATGTGATCTCCGGAGGAACGTTGGCATGCTGTTACAGTTGAGACAAAGCACAGGATGAAGGAAAGTGTGACAAGCAGTGTTGCCACACCATTTTAGCCAAATATCAGTAGGATTCAAAACTAAAATGCATCGTCCGGGGGCTTCGCCCCCCGACCCCCATTCCCGCTACCGCCACTATCTACACACACATGCCACTACATAACAATCAATGTCCTCTGCCACCTCACCACCCATTTGCATTAGCACGCTGTGCATAGCTATTAACAAAAGATATTTTAGCAGGGATATACCATCATACTTCAGTATTCAAGTAGAGTGGAAAGCAACTTATACCAGGCATACCAGAAAATCCACTGGGTTACTGATGTACGCACACAATTGGCAGAATACAAACTGAACCAAAAGACAATAATTATTATAATAATTACATGTAGCACTAAAACAGGGGTGTGTTGCTCCCTACATGGGAGCTCGCGCTTTTCCTACCGACTTGCCGAAGTCGCACCAACCTCTTCTTAGCACTAAAACATCTGCAAGAAATAATAATGTGGTGCAAAATGAAGAAAACGAAATGATAACTCCAGAAAGCGCTAAAATACAAAATGAAGAATAAGGAAATTATAAGCCACATAGCGCTTAATAGAGCACCAAAAATAAAATGAAAATTGAAAGAGTAAAACCAACCCGATAAACCAAGAAATCAAAACAAACTAAACAAACGAATAACAACAATAGAATGATACTTGGCACTCAGATGCAACTACATGAAGAGCAAAATGAGCCAACATGCCTGCAGAATACAAAAGTGACCGTCAGTCAGCTTGCTATCAGGGAACAGCCCCGGGATGAACTCACCCATGGCAGACCACGATGCCTTGTACCGCAGGACAGCAACCATTTTAGGCTTGTCACTTTAGGCTTGTCACAAGTCTAAAATTTAACGATTTGAAAATTTCCTTTATTCAACTAAAGTCCCCTAACAGAAAGTCATCGCTAAACCTTTCTGATGTCCCAATTACTTTAGTATACTCTTCTCCACCTACGCCCCCCCCCCCTCCACTCGAACCGGGTTGTAACTAAAACGCAGCCTAAGGCTATGATCGTTTGGTCGGATCCAGATCCAGATCCAAATCTCAGATCCGTGGGATCCTTCAGAATCAACCGAACACTTTTTTCCGGACCTTAGCTGTTGCCATGTTGACGAAGTAAAAAATGGCGCTGACAGGTCACCCAAAAAAGGCACAAGTCGTATTGATCGCTCGCGTCGTACGAAAAGTCAACAAAAGTCCACTAGACGTACGACAATGAGTATAAAAATGATTTTTACCCACCATAAATGCACAAAGGTCTCATTTGGATCCGATGGATCCAGTCAACCCTGCTCCCGGGGCAGGGTTGCTCGGATCCAAATCCGAAGGATCTGGATCCGGATTCGACCAATCGATCATTGCAGATCCAGTGGATCCGATGGATCTGGATCTGGATCCTACCAAACGATCACGGCCTAAAATATAAATTTCATCATAAAAACTAATTTAGTAGAATTAATGATGTTCTGGAGCTGGGCAATGCTAGCAAAACAATATCGGACAAAATTACACTTTCGGAATACACAGTCGGTCATGATTTCGCAGTCTAAGATATTGTTAGGCCCACAAGTTCATGCATTATTCATTTGGCCTGGGTAGCTACTTGCGCGCCCATGTTTGCCATAGCTACCCAGGCCTTTTATATTGCGTTGCTTCTCTCTTCAAATCTCTCTCTCTTCAACTCTCTCTCTTCAATAAGCTCGCTCTCTTCAGATAATCTCTTTCTCAATCTTCAATGTAGTCGTTTCGTTTGTCTTGGTCTCTTGTTTCGTCGTCTATAATATATGACCCGCGCTCTGTGAAAACTGACCTTAGATGCTTCGTATTTTCCGAGAAAAGGAACAAAACGTCACGGTCTGTCGATTTTTGAAGATCACAAGGTGAGAGTCATGGCAGAACGAAGCAGAAAACCGTCGCTAGCTCAAATAATTGCTCTGGGCTTCTCCCAGAGGTTTCATCCGAACTCCTTCACGATGAATAGTCATTTTTTGGCCTGGTCCAATCGCAGTTCTGATGACAGCAGTGTCGAGGAGACGGTTAGATGTGGAATCGCAGGACGCAAAGCTGATCGAGCTGGACGGCCATGCGGGGGAGAATTTCGATCAGGCGTCAGTTTTGCCACCAGCCCAGCCCCCCCCCCCCCCCCAATGCCGGCAATAAACAGAGTGCAGACCAAGAAAAATCGGTTCAAGCACTGTATACAATCCAGGAGGTGCGCGACAAGTTTGACAAGCACTGTAGTTGTTCCGCACTGGTGTTGTTTCAAGAGGGTGACACTTGATACCTTGCTTTACATTTACAGCGCACACAGCGCACGGCCTGACCAAGTCAGAGCGCTGCTTGTGTGTAGGCGGAAAGCTAGACGTGCTCAGGAGACATGGTGAGGCTACCCAGCGCGTCCAGCATGCTGGAAGATGTGATAGATGGGGCTCAACAATACTACTCTGAACTACTGAAGACTACAGTCAGTGGCTAGTGTGGAAGTCATGTACATGCATGTCAGGAAGTCTTTGTGTATGCCTCCAGCCCAGGATCAAGCCCTGGGTGCTGAAATCTGTGCAGGCTGCTGTCAGTGCAAGTAAAATCAGCCCAGCACTGGAATTGAATGAACTCTGGAATGCACTGCCTGTGGAAATGTTTTGGAGCTGAAGCATTTTAGAGAGAATTATCTTTTCTCACTCACCGGGGACCATGTGAGTTTGGCACATTTTCCATCCAGGACTTTTTGTACCCACCAGACCTCAAACTTTCACAGATTCCTTCCTATGCTGCTGTATAAATACCATACTAGCTGTGCATCACTGTAATCAGTTGTCTGAAGATTGCTATATGGCATGAAACTTTAAGTTACGACAATCAAGACGCGTGGTTTTTCTGTGACTCGTGTAGAGCATTATGGTATAGCTCATGGCCTCACTTACCCTGCAGATCCACATGGGCACAACAAGCTAGTACCAACCTAAATGTATTTGCCCAGTATCACTATGAAGAAGCTTGTTCACCAGGCGTTCACAACGCCTAGTGGCAAAGATGCATACGGTACCTTTGGCACGATTATGAAACAATGTGTGCGGCAGATGTAGACATAACTAGATGTTCTGCTACCAGTACCAGATAAAACTATCAATATCCTTTAACCCGGCATTGATCCGAGCTTCTTCACTACTTTGCACCTGCCTCTACCCATCACTCCGGCTGGCATATCCTTATACAGAGCCAAATACCTTTTCCAGCAGATTCGTGAGGAACACCATCCACAGAACAGAGATAGAATGTGTCTATCTCCACAACAGGAAGATCCAATGCCATCATAAACTTTTCCTTTTGAAGATTATGACATACAGATTTATTCTGCAAAGTTTGGCTGCAATCATGCTGCTTGAATTCTCACAGTATTGGCTCCAAAATGTAGCATAAAATCCAGGATTTTCCTTTCTTTTCCTCAAAAAATTGTAGGAAAAGTGCGAAGAAATTGTTATTGTATCTAATTGAATATGTATGCAATCCACTTTAAACTTCACCAGAAGTTGAAGAAAGGGTCATGGGTCAACAATCCAGCACAAACTCAATTTCGCCAAAATAGCACCTAAGGTCGGTTTTTGCAGAGCACTGGTCAAATGCCGTTCCCATCAACCTACCTGTTCTCGTTGTCAGTTGTGTTAGTGAGTAAGAAACCTCTCTTGTTCGGACCCAACATTGGCGCTCAACTTTTGCTGAAGCCCACGACGCTGAGGTCCTCGTCATCTACCGCCCGGCATTCGTCTCGTGTTCAGCCTCGTCTCGTTATCGTATGCAACCTCGTCACGTCAATGTCAACCTCGTCTCGTCCAGGTCCACCTCGTCTTTTCACGCAGGTCAGCTTCCTTTCTCTCTTTCTTTTTTGTATGCGTTCCTTCTTCGTCAAATTTATTTTCGGTTTAATTATTTCATTAATATTTGTTTTTGTAATGTGTGTGCGCGCATGTGTTCTTCGTAAAATATTAGTAAATTAGAGGGCTGATCATGGTGAGCCACGCTCTAATATTATTTTTGATGTTTAGCAGAAGTGCAACTACGCTAATATAAGCCATGCAAGCAGTATCAGTAGGTTCCTCGTCACGTCTAGTTTCTTGTTCTTTAGACTTAGAGAAGTACAGGAAGAGGAACAATAACTGTAATGCATGATACTAGTAAACACTTTTGTGAGATCCGTGCACGCGTGCAGTGTGTGTGTGTTTTTTTCTTCCTCAGTCATTTTTTATCTCTATTTTTTTTCTCCGCGAGGACGCGGGATTCTTTTTTCAAGTAGGGGAGGTATGTTAAGCCCACAAGTTCATGCATTATTCATTTGGCCTGGGTAGTTACTTGCGCGTCCATGTTTGCCATAGCTATCCAGGCCCTTTATATTGCGTTGCTTCTCTCTTCAACTCTCTCTCTCTCTCTCTCTCTCTCTTCAATAAGCTTGCTCTCTTCAGATAATCACTTTCTCACTCTTCAATGTAGTCGTTTTGTTCGTCTTGGTCTCTTGTCTCGTCGTCTATAATAAATGTCATTCCCATCAATCTACCTGTTCCCGTTGTCAGTTGTGTTAGTGAGTAAGAAACCTCTCTTGTTCGGACCCAACAATATCAATAGTTAGGAGTAGAGCCCACACCCGCTCAGGAAACCTCCCCACTTTTACTTAAGATATCAATATCATCAGAACATCTAGCCGGAGTGGGGGGGGGGGGGAGGGGGGGGGGAGGATTTCTGCAGCTGACCAATGTTAACCGCAACGAAATTTTGGGAATACGCCTGTCAGAACACACAGTGGGTAACTCACGGAATTCGCACACAACGTATGAGTCAAAGGACGTTAGCCGTGTGGAAAACGCGTGGTGTTGTAGTCCTCCGGTGACGTACGCAATCGAATTTCCCGCTCCGGGCTTGTACTCGTTTATCCACCCGACGCGGCGGGAACTGAGGAGATCGGCTGTGCAGCCTGCACGGTAAGCCGCCGGTGTCAGTAGAACTCCCCCCTTGCTCTGGCATAGACCCCGAGCAGTGGTGAAGTTGAAAAGATCGGTTGTCCGTTGCAGAACTGCTCCAGTCTTAGCACAGTATGTATACCCGGTCCAGGGGAGAGCAGCTGGAAAGAAGACCAGAACATTAAAATTAAGTTAAACATTTTTCAAAATGTCACCCTTAAAGTGGTACCCTGGTCTCACTGTGATCTAGCACGTACAAAACCGGCGCCTTTTCTAAACCAGCATACGAGAATTGTGGCGATACCTGCAGTGAGAAAGCAGATTTTGCCTGTGCCATGGTACATTGAAATAAGCTAAACAAGAAATGCCCCAATCCAAGAATATCATATCCTAACCTGCTGCATTAGCACTGTTGATGTACCCAGCTGTCAGGGACGCCACGAAGCAGAAAATCAAAAGACCTTTCATCTGAATGCACAGGATAAGTGCTGACTGGGCCTTGTCGCGTTGAGGCGCACACCTTTGCATACGACATGTGGTGAGGGTACACCACACCAAGCAGGCACCGCAATTTTCTGCAGTGTCATGCGTCCGGCCGATTACTGAGTTGCTGTGTCAGGGCCCACAGTCCCCATGCCAGTGTATACAGGGCGAAAATTTGATGCGGCCGAAATGGGTTTTCACCCTGGGAGGCCGAAAAATGAAAGCGCCGAAAAGTTGCCGGACGTTAAAACTCATACAATAGGACTGTATTAGGAAACACTGTGTACGTACGTATGCAGGCAGGAATCTTGTTGCCAGCAGAGCAGACACGCTCTGTTTCAAAGTACTCGAAGCCAAGGTCACACGTGACAATGCCAGCC